CGGACCTGAACCCAATCGAGATGGTTTGGGGTGAGCTGGACCGCAGAGTGAAGGCAAAGGGGCCAACAAGTGCTAAACACCTCTGGGAACTCCTTCAAGACTGTTGGAAAACCATTTCAGGTGACTACCTCTTGAAGCTCATGGAGAGAATGCCAAGAGTGTGCAAAGCAGTAATCAGAGCAAAGGGTGGCTATTTTGAAGAAACTAGAATATAAAACATGTTTTCAGTTATTTCACCTTTTTTTGTTAAGTACATAACTCCACATGTGTTCATTCATAGTTTTGATGCCTTCAGTGAGAATCTACAATGTAAATAGTCATGAAAATAAAGAAAACGCATTGAATGAGAAGGTGTGTCCAAACTTTTGGCCTGTACTGTATATATATGAAAAACTTGAGAAATCATGACGCTTCTGTCTGCATAGTGATACGGTAGGTGGGTGTAGTTCGGTAGAAAGAAAATACTTCCTACATGAAACTGCTCACAACAATCTCTGTGGATTATCTTGAGGAACTGGGTCACGATTTCTGGAAAGAGACATTGCTGTTGAGTTTTTCAAATAAATTTTTTCTTTTTGTTTTGTTCAGCACTTTGAGTTCCACAAGCTGAGTGCCATCTAGTTCCATTATATTTAAGATAAGGCAGACATCTCTACGGACAATATCTCCAACACTCAAACCAAAACAATCTAGATTGATAAACAGCTCTACTGTCCCTGAAACAATAGGTAGACATTCTGGGAAATACATGTATTTTGTTTTGTTTCCAGAGTTGAGAAAATCAGTATCACTCTCGTATTTCTTGGTTCAGTATGAAGCTGGAGTGAGCAGCTGGTTAGATTTGCTTAGCTTAACACGAAATCTGAAAACAGGGTGAAATTGGCAGCCTGGCTCTGTCCAAATAGCGTCTTTAAATGCTACAGTATAATATGTTGATGAGTGAGTTTTTAGCAGTGCTGGAAGGCAGCAGTACACTCATATTTCAGGAGCTGAAACTCGGGAATGTTTGGCATTTTGCTTTAATGCATTAATGAAAAGTGTTACTTGATGAACAGAGCATATTTAACCACTTCACAGACCAGGCGTCCAGTCCACTAAACAGTCTGTCAGTCCCTGACTGCTGTCATTGGCACCTCAGTAAATGCTAGCTGATGAACAGGACAAACTGAACCAGATGGCTCCACTCCCAGTGGCTCCAGTGAACAGTCCACATGCATTAATGAAGACCCTGAGGCTGGCAGAGCCACCAAAGACACGTGTACACACTCTGCATGTGTGTGTGTGTGTGTCGGTGTTTGTATGTGCGTGTGCATGCATGAACCTAGGTTGACCACCGCTGACATCCTGTTCCAAATTGCTTCCTGTTGACTCTGGTGTCTTCCTCCTCTGCTTCTTTGCTGCATGTTGGTACGACCCTGGTCTTCTTCTGCATACATGTGTGTGTGTTTGTGTTTACACATGGGTACACATGTGCATGTTGTATCTGTCTCCTACTGTTCCTTCCTCGAGCCGACCACTTTATCCACTTAACTACCATTATTAAGCCTATTAAGAGAGGAGCTCTACCCTATGGCTGAAGCTCTTTTATTTCCTACAGAAGGTTTCTGAACATGTCTGTGATCTGTCGTTGTACATTAACACACTGGAGAGTACAGATTATTCTTCTGCTGTGGTGGAATGTGAGAAGAAATGACTAAAGACCAAAGAGATCATTTAAAAAACATAAATTACAAATTACAGAGTGTTAGAATATCAGCTGTCAGTCTGTATGAGACCTGCATGACAATAATCACGTCATGACATCATCTTGTCGGTTCAGCAGTTGCACATTTTCTTGAATGTTCTCTTCCACGCAGTAACCAATTACAGCATGCCGTTTTCCCCTTCACGCCTCCTTTTACTCATTCCGCCATGGATCACATGTCTGTTTATGTTTCCACTCTTTTTTTCCCTCTTCACATTGTCCCAAACTTTCTCTGTTCTCCCCTTTGAAATGTCATTTGCCATTTCCTGTGTGTGTGGTGTGAAATAAGAAAGCTGTTGCTTGGGTTTACTCCATGTAATATTAAAAGCATCTTTTTGTACTCGTGTCATTTTGGACGATTATGAAAGCAAGTAGGAGACATAAGAATTTGAATTTTAACAGCCAAAAACTTTCAAAAGCAACATCTGGGCTACCCAGGACATGACAGGCAATCAAGACTGAATGTTTATGTCCAATCAATTGCACATAAACAGCTCAACTGGATATCTCAAGGCAATTGAATCGAACGCAACTGGACTTCGTTTTGTCTTAGAAGACGTTTCGCCGCTCATCCAAGAGGCTTCATCAGTTCGTGCTTGTCTGACTAGGCTGGAACTAGTCTGAGAAACTGGTGTGGAAAACGTCTTCTAAGACAAAACTAAGTCCAGTTGCGTTCGATTCAATTGCCTTGAGATAACTATGACCTGGATAAATGAGAATATCCACAGGCAGCTCACCTGGATGACTTACCAGAGCCCCCAGAGCAAATAACTGCAGATGAATGGTTTTCAAAGTCAAATAATTCAATGCTGTGAAGTCAGTAGTATTTAAATTTCAGCAAAGCAAGGCAAAGCTTTAGATTTATTGGTTCATCTACATCCCAACCTTCACCTATGGTCATGATGAGCTTTAATGACCGAAAGAATGAGATCACGGATACAAGCGGCCAAAATGAGTTCCCTCAGAAGTTACTGCCTTAGAGATAACGTAAGGAGCTCAGACATCCCAAGGGAGCTCGGAGTAGAGCTGCTGCTCCTTTGCGTCAAAAGGGATCAGATGAGGTGGTACGGGCATCTGATCAGGATGCCTCCTGGGCGCCTCTTGTTAGAGGTGTTCCAGGCATGTCTAACTGGTAGGAGGCCCCGGGGCAGACTCAGAAGACGCTGAAGGGATTACATATCTCGTCTGGCCTAGGAGTGCCCCAGAGTCTCCCAGGAGGAGCTGGAAAGCATTGCTGTGGAGAGGGACGTCTGGAATACTTTGTTCAGCCTGCTGCCCCTGTGACAAGGCTTTGGATAAGCAGTTGAAAATGGGTGGATGGATGTACTCAGACTATGTGTCTGATTTGCTTCAATAGTCCATTATTAAAGAAAACCTAATGTTCCAGGTTGCCATTGCTGATGTCATAGAAATGTGTTGCACTAACACAAAGTGAAATGAAGATACTTGTTGACACTAATCTCACTAACAGCACATAATGACCATAATGGTTGTTGTGCAAGAATTAACCAATTAGCCACCAATCAAATAAGTTATTAGTATTCATTCTGAGCACAGTATTCCTGGGTGGGCCCAGACTCCCCCTGACTGCCTTGACCAGCCAAATCAAATCAGCTGCCAGCGTTTACTACAGCTCACATCAGTATCGTGCATCTATTAATGTCTCTCTCTGACAAGCTGCATGAGCACCATGATGCAAGATCAGCAGCAGCCCCTCACTGTGGTAAAATTTACCAGAGTTTTGATGTCATTTAAACAATGTAATGTCTGTGACACCGACATGACATGCCTACGAGACGCGCGGCTCTTCAGCACCTACTAAGCAAAGACAAAAACAAATCAACCTTGACTGTCAGCGACTGAAATCAAACACCCTCACAATTAAATTTATCTGGAGCTCAGATCAAAGCTTGTTTGACAATCAGCCGTAGTGAGCATTAGGTGCCTTTATTTTTGTCAAAGTTAAAGCAGGGATGTTTTACAAATTAGCCCTGAGAGCCAACATCTACCTGGAAGTTACGACATCAACCTAAAACATGGGAGTGAAAATGTCTTAAAGCTCTGATCATACCTCAACTTGTAGCGAGTGTATTTCTGCTCAGTCGCTGTTGTTTTCCTCAGTTGTAGATCATTGTGATTGCAGGCATTTGACTTGTTAACCTGTTGTCTGGCACCTGTCAGCACTCAGCCGCAGAGGGCAGCTCTGCTGTCAAACAATCTCATGAAAAGGGTCAAAGGTCAAAAGTTGACAGGGTGTCACCTGTCTAGGTTTACAGTTGGAGCCTGTAGCTGTGCTGTAGTACTCAACGTCGGACTCCTTTCTTTCATTTTCCGTTTGCTAGGCTGTGTTATCAATGCATTTCTTGTTTTAAATCAAATTTGATTTGCATCGTGAAGTGTTTCATCTCATGAGACCATTGAATGAGTCAGAAACCTAAAACATGCACCAACATTCCAGTTTCTCCGAGCTTGTCACTTCAGGGTCAACTGTCATCCTCATAATAAACAGTCCAGTAGTGGCTGTAGCCAGTTTGAATGACCTCAGCTTCCCTCTCTTTTTCTTACTGTGTATGTGTGTGTGTGTGTGTGTGTGTGTGTGTGTGCGTGTGTGTTTGTGGTTTTGACAATTTACTGTTGGCTCACCGGCATGGTACAAGGACTGCTCGCCACATGTAGAGACTTCCTCCAGTAAACTTTATCCCTCTCACTCCTCTCCTTCTTCTTCTTTATGAGGCAGAAAACACAATCAATCACTTTTATTGAGCATCTCTTGTTATAGTGAGCACTGCCTGGTCAGCACAATAAACACCAGTCAGTGCGAAAGACGCATTCCAAAAAAAAAAAAAGACAGTACAACGTCCTCAAGTTTCTTACATTTCTGCAAATATGTGTGCAGGCGCTTGTTTGACCTTCTCTGTTGGTGTGCACCAGTCTGTGTGTGCGTGTCTGACATCATGCGTCACTAACCCGTCATGTGGAACAGCCAGATCTGTGCTGACAGCCTCTCCTTCAAACCAGCTGCAGCGGATGACATAAAGAAAGTGAGAATGAATCTTACCGTCCTCTCTATCAGTTCTTCATCCTTCCTCCTCATCCCTCCATCCCTTCATCTGTGCTGTTGGAGCACGACCAAGAGCGTTAAACCAAACACATGACTTGGCATGTGTTAGTACATTCCTAGTGTGTTTGAGTGTGTGTGCGCGCATATGGTTATGTGACTGCTGCAAAAACCAATTATGTGCTCATTTCCTTTCAGGTGACTCCCACCTGTTCCTCAACACCAGACCTGGTAAGTGTGTGCATGTAGTTTAGTATGATGTAATCATAGACTGTGTGGATGTAATGCAATTAATTACTGCAGCACACTCACTCTTTTGTGACTGTTTCTCAGCACGGCTCCATTAAATCTACACAACAGAAGAAAAGAGGCTCCATACCAAGGTACCAAGAAGCCTGAATTACACATTAAACAAAAGAAAGTCATATTATATTATTTAAAATTCACAGATATAAGATGCACAGTAAAATAAACATTAAGGAGCTTAAACTTTGATTCGTCTTAATGAACAAACAATTGAACAATGGACTCTCACAATGTCCAGGAGTAAAAGTGTGGAACAAGTGATGGAGCACGTCATGGAGCGCCACTACGACTTTGACCTCACCTACATCACAGAGAGGATCATCTCTGTCTTCTTCCTGCCGGACCTGGAGGAGCAGCGGTATCGCAGAAACCTACAAGAAGTGGCCTCCATGCTGAAATCCAAGCACCAAGACAAGTTCTTGGTTAGTCATAAAACTGCAAACAATATAAACTTACTGTTGTAAAAGGTCTCTTAAAAAGATCAAATAATGAGGTCATAGCTGCTATTAAAAGTTTTATTAAACAAATGAAATGGGTTTTATTTGCATATTTGTGTAACTATCCTGAAAGGTCACTGCTTTAAGGCCTTGATAAGGTCTATAAACTACCACATCCTTCATTACACTGTGTCCTTTAAATCTGTATTTTTTGCAGAGTTTGTGAAAACAGTATGTAAAACAGATTTGTGATATCATCTTATGTGTCTACCTTTTCCAGCTACTTAATTTATCAGAGAAGAGACACGACATCACCAGACTTAACCCAAAGGTATGAAGTATTCACATGCTTAAAGATGACAGATCACCTCAAGGTTAATGGACAGGTTTGACTTAATGGAAAACCAGATTTTGAAACGTCTTTCCTCCTCTGCGGTTCAGGTGCAGGACTACGGCTGGCCTGATGTTCACGCCCCACCTCTGGACAGGATTTGTGCTGTTTGTAAAGCCATGGAGACCTGGCTGACCTCTGACCCCCAGAATGTGGTGGTCCTCCACTGCAAGGTCAGTGCCGCCTGAATCCACGTGTGCTTGCTTTGCTGTGAGAAAATTTGAATCCGTGGGGAGAGTTTTTTCATTGTCACTTTGATGTGTGCTCTGACAGGGAAACAAAGGGAAGACGGGGGTCATTGTGGCAGCCTACATGCACTACAGCAAGATATCAGCGGGGTAATCTGCACTCCTTATACCAGCATGTGTTCAGATACATTATCCATTTAAATGTAACCCTGCCATCAAAGCTACATTTCAGTCAAGAAAAACTGGATCCCTATCAACCTTACAACAACTGTGCACAGAAGCTGAGAATGGCCGTGCTTGCAATATTTTTTTAAATGCTGTTATCTCAAGATAATTTTGTTTTCATTATCTCATTCATTCTCTCGATAAAATAAGCTTTGTTATCTCATGTTAACAAATGTATTACTCCGTTATCACAAGGAAACAAAATGCTGTTTCCTTTCATTACTTAAAATGTTTATCAGAGATCAGAGTGCTATGCCAGCATATGTAGATGGCTTCTTGACAACTGTAGCAACTGATTTAAGCTAAAAAATGTATGATCAAGGAGTATTCATTATTTATCTAGCATCAGACTGTTTTTCAAACAAGATCTAATTAAGGGAAAGAAATTGCATTGTGTCTTTCAGTTAGAGATAACATTCAGATCAGTCCATCAGTTATGAATCCTCTGAGACAGTGATCTTGGAGGCTGAAATCAAGTGTGACCAAATTAAACAGACACTCATTTTCAACTTTAAGCTCTATAATAATTTATTTTTGATATCTGTATTACCTCTTGTATTCTTTTTGACTTCCTTATTTATACTTATCCTTTTGGACTGTCTGCACCGTGGATCAATTCAGAGTGAAACGTTGTTTAGATTCTCTGTGTCTGTTATATGACTGTAGAATTGACAATAAAGCATCTTGAATCTTGAATCCCAGGGTCTGGAGAAAACAACAGTCAGTCATTTCTCATAAATTATGTTGTTATCTTGAGCAGTTGAAATAATCGTAACCAGTAATCATTGAGTAACCTTTTGCGTTCTCAAGAGTCGACAAAAATAAGCACAATATCACAAGAAAACAAGCTCTGTTATCTCTATTAAACAAAATAATTAACTTGTGATCTCCAGATAACAGCATTAAAAAAATAATTGCAAGCACAGCTGCTCTCAGCTTCCATAATTTGTTTTCATCAACGCAAAGGCCATCTTTGCTTACTGTCAGTGATAGCTTGGCCAATGTGATCACTGTAGGGCTGGAATTAATGATACTTTTTATTATTGGATAATCAGCATCAATAAGCACTGGGTCTATATAATGTTCAAAAGTAGTTACAAAATGCCCCAATTTCCCAGAGCCCCAGTTGACATATTTAAATTGCAGTACCCAAAGATATTCTGTTTAGTCTAAGCAAACTTGCAAAAGTTCAATTTGAGAGGCTGAAACCAATGCAGTTGATCTTTAACATTTAATCAAATTTTTGACAAATAATTTGCTAGTCGACTATCATTTCAGCTTTGCTTTCACATTCTAGTATTATTGGCAAGCTCTAAATAGAGAAAATGAGATGGTCCAAAGAGCCTATAGATTAAATTTGTAGCCAAAGTCACCAATAACAGTAATGCTTTACTCAAGGCGCACACCTCAAAACACTTAGTAATACTTCCTAATTTCTGCTTGCACAGATCTGTGCTAAAGCATTTATTAACACACCTCTGGTTGTGCCCACAGAGCGGATCAGGCTCTCACCACTCTCGCAATGAGAAAGTTCTGTGAAGACAAAGTCTCCTCTTCCCTACAGCCCTCTCAGAACAGGTGGGGCACACTCATATATCTTCTTCTTCTGCTACCTAACACTGCTTGTGTTGCCACTGTCATCGCTCCATGCTGTCATCATCACTGTATTTCCTCACCTCTCTTCTTCAGGTACATCTACTACTTTGGTGGGTTGCTGTCAGGCACCATCAAAATGAACAGCAGTCCTCTGTTCCTCCACCAGATCCTCATTCCATCACTACCAAACTTCCAGGCAGGAGGAGGTCAGTTTTACACAAACTAATGTTGTATAATAGCTTGCAGGGCAGTGATGGGAAGTCTTAGCTCTGGATAGTGAACAAAAAGAGTTTTACAATGCTGAAGGGAAAAAAAACAATAAAGCCTTTGTCTGCAAACTCTCCCCTCCCCGTCTCTTCAGGTTTCTATCCATTCCTGAAAATCTACCAGTCTCTACAGCTTGTCTACACCTCAGGCGTCTAGTAAGTACACGGCCAGCAGTCCAGTGACTGCATATTCAGCTCACCTCCTGCGGGCAGATGCTTTTCCTTCCCCTGTCCCACTGACAGATGTTGTCTATACAGGCCGCAGTCTTTGTTTAGGTGTAGGCTGCTCTGTGCTTATTTTAAAGTGAACATTGTTTACCACTGTTTTACCCAACTGAGACATGTTTTGACTGGTTTTATGTGGGTTTTAAACTGGTGTGGCCATATTTTAAATTCTGTGTATGCGTGTGTGTGTGTGTGTGTCCAGTGACCCCCAGAGCTCCAGGGCGAGGAAACTGTGTGTGACTATGGAGCCAGCACTCTTATTAAAGGGGGACATCATGGTGAGAAACAGTTGAATCATATGTTACTAATTGGAAACCTTGCTTTAATTTTAATCCTATCCATATCCACAACTACAGTGCATCACTGCAATTACTGCAAAACCTCAATTGTTTACTAAGCTGCTTTTAAAAACACATGAATAAAATTCTCCTCTGACTTAGATTAAACCACTTACGCTACAAATTCTCTGTAGACTATGAACACGCATACCTGATTATTTTCTTACGCTGTCTTGCATGCCTCTTTGAGTGGGTAAAGATATTCAGAGCCATTAAAGACCTAGATAGACATGCAAGTAGTTTATTTGTCCTGGAGGGTAATCAGTTGCCACGGCAGCAACACGCACCAAACATGCATGATCCAACTAAAAAGACTACTAAAACTAAAAGAGATCGCATTAAAACTTGATTTACCATTTTGTGCTAATACGTTAACATTTTGAAACAGTCCGTGTGAAATGAGCTTTAGTATTTGAACACCTCTGTCATCCTCCTCTGCAGGTGAAGTGTTTCCACCGGCGAAGTAGAACAGCAGAGAGGGAGGTGGTGTTCAGAGTCCAGTTCCATACCTGTACCGTCCACGGAGCCCAGCTATGGTTTGGCAAGACTGAACTGGATCTGGCCTGCACAGGTATGAAAAACAGTTTTGCAGGAAATGCATTAAATAAAAGGTAGAATTTTCAGTTTAGGTCATGAAGAAATTACAGAAGAGAGTATTGTGAAGGGAGATTATGCTGCATATATGCATAAGGAAAACATTAAAAACACTACTGGAAGGTTGTTTAGACCAGTGGTTCTCAACCAGGGATCCTTGAGGAAGTTGCAGGGGTCCCCAGAAAAATGGGGATAAGTTTATTTTCACTGTTTAATTCACTACAGAGTGAGTCCAATGTGAGTAAGAGTCATAAGAGTTACCATTCTGATCTCACCTTAGGTTTCACTTCCTCAACACTTATCTCCTCCACTGTAAATGACAACTAAAGAGTTCTGGTCTTCGTCATATCTAACATCCAAATTTTTTTCAGATGGAGGTCCCTGAAGCAGATAGGGGTCTATAACCTAATGTTTATCAATTTAGGGGTCCTTGACATGAAAAAGGTTGAGAACCACTGGTTTGGCCTACACTAGTGCCTGGCGGTGCAGTGGTTAGCACTATTGCCCCCCAGCAAGAGGGTTCCTGGTTCAAACCCAGGGTGGGGGAGTCCTTCTTTGAGGAAAATTGCATGTTCTCCCTGTGTCAGCATGGGTTTTCTCTGAGTACTCTGGCTTCTTCCCACAATCCAAAGACATGCACATCAGATTAGTGACTCTAAATTGCCCATGAGTGTGAATGGTTGACTGTCTCTATGTGTTAGCCCTACGATAGTCTGGTGAGCTGTCCTATGTCAGCTGGGATAGGCTCCAGCCCCCCCCCCCCCCCCCCCCCCCCCCCCCCCCCCCCCCCCCCCCCCCCCCCCCCCGCAACCCCCAGCAGCATAAGCGGTTACGGAAAATGAATGAATGAATAGTGCTTTAATGCACTAACATTTGAGCATATTGCAGCATCTGAATATACAATTTAAAACCACTCTCAGTATATTTCTGTTGCTGTCTTGAAATGGTTTACACGGCTGTATAATTCAAGACCCACTTATTGCTCAGTCCATTGTGGTATGTGTGTATTTTGAGACAGATATCAAATGACAGTGTCAGTTTAGATGAAACAGAAAAGCTTGTACATGGTTCGGTAAGCAGCAGTCTCATGACAGTTGCTCTAAGTGCTACATGCTGACGCATGCATACAATGTATAAATAATATTACCCACACTCATGCATGAAAGTAAAAAGAAAACTCATTTCAGATACAATACTTTGAAGTGTTATGCTCTGTTTCCATTATAAAGAGTGAAAAGTATCTTTGGTGTTTCCACTTCACAGATCGCACTTTCTTGTGAATGTTTTTATCAGTCTGTGTAGTTACGGCCTGGATATTTTTAGTCACTACCTTTATGATCGTCTTTCTGTAGATGACAGGTTCCCTCCAGATGCTACAGTCGAGTTTATCTTCTCCAGTGGGCCAGAAAAAATGAAAGGTGAATATTATCAACTGTCTGTCTGTCACTGCGTCTCTTTCTTTTTACGTCTTCATTTGCTTCATATCAAAATGTCGGCTTCCCAAGGTCGAGAATACCGCAAGAATGATGCCTCCATCAAAGTAGACTACAACACCTCAGATCCTGTGGTCAGATGGGATTCTTATGAGAACTTTAACCTGCACCATCAAGACAGCATTGAAAGTAAGAAACACTCGCAATCACACAGCTGTAAAGAGTAAATTTACACCAGAGAGAGTCATCTTAACTTCAAACCCTCTTCTTGTTTCTACCAGATATCTCTCATACGAGGGGCCCTCTGGACGGCAGCTTGTACGCCCAGGTGAGGAAGCGTCGAGGGCCGGGCTCAACTGCTTCCGGGGCATCACCCAACGGCTGCCTCACTAGCAGTCCAACAGTCAAGCCTCAAACTCCCAGCCAGCCCCAGCCTCTCACCTATACCTCTGACTCAAGCCGCTCCTCGGTCCTCGCTGATCAACCAGAAGACACCTCTCCATCTATAAACCGCCCAGAAAGAGAAAACACTGACTCTCCTTCAAAGAGAGGAGACGGGGAAGATGGAGCAAAGGATAAAAGACGAGGGAAAGAAAAGGATAGAGAGACAGCGATTTTAGATGATGGAGACCCGTCAAGTCCTCAGGGTTTGAGGCGAGAGCATTCGTGTTGCGGTCGAGCAAAGTGTGGCGACGGTGGATGGGAACGGGAACGGGAGCCTTGTCTTTCTGATGTTCACTGCCTCAGCCGATGCAACAGCGTTAAAAAGAATCCAAAAAGCCAAACTCTGCCAGCCTTGCCATCCAAATCCATATCCCCGCCTCCTCATTCAGCTCATATGGAACTCTGCCATCGACATAGTGCCCATCCTTTACCAGAACTGCCATGGGAACGTCCACCCCCACCCCCGCCCTGTCTCCTCAGGCCTTGCTACCCTTACTCCAGCCCTGAACACACCCACCTGCACAGCCACACCCTCCCAGCCTTAAACAGACTCTGCACTGGGGAGGAGTGTCACCTCCTCCATTATTCCAGCCACAATCCAGCCTCTCATCTCTCCCATCAGTCACTGCCCTCAAGTCCTTACAGGGAAATGTTCTTTGGCTCTCCAACACCATCCCCTGGTTGCCCCTGTCGGGACTGTGCCAGCAGGCGAGAGCACCAATCAGCCTCGGTTAGAGCATTCCACCCATTGCACCCCGACCAATCAGAAAGCCCACACTGGTCCCCAGGAGCAGGGATCCAGCGGACAAGAGAGGCGCCTCCACTGTGGGAAAGTGAAAATCCATGGGAGGTGGCGAGAGAGGCAGAGTTCTGGCAGTGCAAATCAGCCATGCCAGCATTTCGTGTCTGCCACTCCAGTTTGGATCAGAGTCCAAACCCGGAGCCTAGATATGCCATGGGACCTCATCAGGGTTACCCCAGCCCCCAGTCTCTGATGGATGTGCGGGATGGAGCCAGCAGTGGGTACCACACTCCTCCACAGCCACGTTACTCCTGTCCCTGCTCTCCTTATCAGTCATCTCCAGCAGAGAGCCATGAGAGCAGGGGTTATGCCTCAGGGTATCACTCTGGATCAGCCTCGCCTCTGCCTGCCAGTAGCCCCTCTCCAGGGAGAGGCAGGCTGCCTGAGACTCCCTCTGGATCGAGAGACCAGCAGCACATTGAGCATCACAAAGGTGAATGTTTTTTTTCATTGAAATAACATGTTTCTTACTTTTTATTTTCCTCATTTCTTTGTTGTACCATCAGATAACCTTGTCTAATCTTATGTCTTTAAGTAGAACAGACCAAGGCTGATGCAGAGGATGACATATCCCAGGGTTCAGAGGGTAAATCGGACTCTAATGGCCAGTCAAGCACCCCTGGATTGGACTCTGACCATGACTACACAATCATTGGAAGCAGCAGCCCCACACACACAGAGGACAGGTGGTTGAAACTTTTCCTTTGTGACATTTATGAATGCTGAAAATAAAAATACATTAACCCAGATTTGTAGATAACTCTTTTTTTCCATACTTTGCCATTTCCTTAGTGTAACTGCTGACAGCCCTTCTCAAAGCCAAGAAACCTCTACACATCAGGAGTGCAGCACAAATAGCAGCAAAGCTGTTGCACCAATACCAAGAGAAATGCAAACCCAAAGTTCCAACATATCCATAAGTTCCACACAACCATCAGGTGAGCAGAGTTTGAGCTCTGATGGAAGGCTTGGAGCAGCCAAGATCCCAGCAAGTCCACAGGGGTCAAAGACTTCAAACTATGCCACTGTCATCATCACCCCAGTCCAAGTGCAACTGAATGGCTCTGCCCTCCCTTGCGATACCCCATTTGATAGCAACAGAGCTTTGTCCATGAACCCCTCTGTCAGTCTCAGCTCTAGCCCTTCCACCACTTCCCCAAATTCTCCCCTTGGCTCCCCAGACCTCCAGTCTTCTCCCACGCGTTCTACATCAGCAGCAGACACAGCTGGACAGAGACTGACTCCAGACAGAGATAGCTCGGCTGACACAAAACCACCATCACCCGTGCCCGATGGATATCATACACCAACCTTTCCCTTAGCATCCTATTACTACCCATTACTAAATGTCCCTCACGTACCATACACTGGGTACACTGCAGTCACCATCCCAGCCATCCAGCCACCACTACCCGAGAAGAAACGTCTTTCATCCACACCAGGATCCCTGAACGGACACAACTCTCTACTCCGGGTCTCCTCAGCTCCTTCCCCAACACACCACGTTACTTTCTCCCCCTCTGTTGGAGAGCAGAGACGGGGTTCTTCACAACACAGCTGCAGGGATGAGGCAGACATCAGGGTCAATGCTAAGTTTGTCCAGGACAGCTCCAAGTACTGGTACAAACCAGGCATCTCCAGAGACCAAGGTGAGGGTTATGGTGGAGGATGATGATATATTGTCATTGGTGCATCTCTTATTTTACACTACAACATTAATACTCTCATGTGTCTTCTCTACCACAGCCATAGCTGTTCTGAAGGACAAGGAACCAGGAATGTTCCTCATCAGAGACAGTAACTCCTTCCAGGGGGCCTACGGCCTGGCCCTCAAGGTGGCCACCCCTCCTCCTAATGCCAACATCTCTGGCAGCAAAGGTATCCATTATTAATTTTTTTGTTGATATCAATGAACTGGCTTCCAGTGGCCCTTTTTTGACATGACACAGTGGGAAAAGCACATAATAAAATGAACAATGGCTGAATTCCATTTCGATGGGTCCTGCTATTGTGCATGCTGGCTCACTGACACACTGGCCCTGTTTACACCTAGTATTACCATGCCTCTAGGGTGATAATATCCCCTTTGGACAGCTCTAAGTACAGGTGTAAATGCACCCAATGTGTCCTTAATGTGTCTTGAGATCCAATTACTCCATTATTCGATAGTGATACAGCCATAATTCTTTAAGCAGTATGTACGCTAGTGTGTCCTGGGCCACAAGGACCACCTGCTCCACTGACATCCTCTGCAAAGGCAGAAGTTCATACTCATCTACGGCTAATGGCATTGTTTTAAAATGTGAAACAACAAGAGGATGTCAAAGATCTTGGCTGATTTGGTTTGCCTAAATGCCAAGAAACAGTACTGTAGTATTTTGTGTTTTTCCCGAACACCAAGGCCTTTGCAAATTTCTCCTTCATAGGAAGCGCACTTCTTCTTCTTTTAATTTCCAGCATTGAAGTGCAGTGATCCGTCCTGCTGGTTAAAAAACAACAACCCATTTGGTATTTGCAGATGTTAATAATGTATGTATGTATTTGCATAATAGACCATTTCATTGCTATTCTGTTGCTAGGACGACAGCTCTGGTCTCTGTTTACTTCCTGTCAGCAACTGCATTAACAAAAATTCAACAGGAAATATTCTTGGACCCATTTACAATGTTTATGTTGTCAAGTCTGAGACAGTCTATAGAGTGAGGAAGTGAGATCCAATCACAAGTGGTCACTCGAGACACATGTTAATACCAGTTGTAAAAAGGGCCATAATCATGGCTTAAGGCTCACTTATATTCCCTTTACATTCCAAAATAGATATGTCCGTTTCAAACATTGTAAACGTCACTGTCCTCATACTTCCTTAGTTTATGATAGCCAAGATACAGCCATGAATGGCACTAAGGTTGTATCTTGCTTGAACTACACTACACTGCCTCCACGACCCCCGTGGTACTGCTGCATTTCGTCCATGTCTGCAAGATTTGAGAAAGTGTGCACAAATACAGATGAAATGAATGCAGAGTACTGAAAGATGGCTAAATCCGTCTCCGTATCTAGCATTGAGCATAAATGAGCCCTTAATAGGACACTTGAATACAACAGAGCTATTGTTAATGTTGTTACAGTAACACCAGTGCTTTCTCTACTATGACAAGTCAAATGTCTAATGTGAAAAAGGCCTTTAGGTGTTTTTCTTGGCACCAGTCTAGTCACATCATTCTCCCGTATAACACTTAAAGAAATTTGATGCCAGTGTTATGTGCTTTAGTGGTTGATAATTGTAGTAGTAGTTTCATTCATCTGCTAAGGGTTCATTCTTATTGTTACGCATTCATGTGTATGTATCTCCATTTTTGCTGCAAGAACAACAACATGACAGAATCCATATTGATATTCTTTTTTTTTTTTTAGTTTTTTTCCCCTTATAGAATATGTTCTGCAGCAACACAGTCTGCCTTGTTTTTCATCCTCACTCCCCCTCCTCTTCCCCTCCTCTCCTCCCTCCCAGGGGACCCTCTGGAACAGCTGGTGCGACACTTCCTCATCGAGACCGGGCCACGGGGAGTGAAGATCAAGGGCTGTCAGAATGAGTCCTACTTCGGTCAGTTATTTGAGGGACACAACTGTCACGATACGATTCATATATTTAGTTATGTACAAGATACTGAGACTGATCATTTTTAACTTGTAAAGCTAAAGGAAGTATTTATTTACGTCCTTCACAGTCCCGTTATCCTCCTTTTAATGCCTTTTAATCTGTCATAATCACAATCTGTGTAACCTATTTTCTCTTTCTCTGTCTTTGTCTCAGGAAGTTTATCTGCGCTGGTGTACCAGCATTCAATTACTCCTATCTCACTGCCGTGTGCCCTTCGCATCCCAGAAAAAGGTAAAATCCGTAGTATTTAGATGTTGTGACCTTTATTCCAAAATTAAATATCTCCCTTTTTAAATAAGATATACTTATTACAAGAGAACAATTAACATTTCAATGAGTAGCAGGTTATTACAACAGCCTGGATTCTCATAAATTAGACAGTACTGTTATGTAACTGTAGACTATGATGTTTCAGATCTGGTTGGGGAGCTTCAGGAGATGCACAGCGCCACAAACACCAGCACAGCGGCTGACCTCCTCAAACAAGGAGCAGGTAGTACATGCACTGGCCTGTTTAGTGTTTGGTGATTCTGTTGTTACATGAACTGTTACAGTGGATCACATGCAGCGCAGTAGTTGTAGTTCTTTGTTTTGACCAGCAGAGACTGATCAAGCCTCATATACGTCCATAGGACCATAGGCTATAAGTACACACTGTTTACATTAATCTGTATTTTCTCATCTCTCTCTCATATACTAGCTTGCAACGTGCTCTACCTGAACTCTGTGGAAACAGAATCGTTGACAGGCCCTGAGGCGATCTCAAAGGCAACCAAGTGTACTTTGGCCCTGAATCCACGCCCAGTGGCGACAGTGGTCCACTTCAAAGTGTCTGCTCAGGGCATCACTCTAACCGACAGCAAAAGAAGGTACATCTTAGACACATCGGTCTTTCTTCTTAGCAACATTATGAGAGTTTTAATTCAGTGGATGTGACTGGTAATTTCATTAAAAAAAAAAAGCTGTCTGACACATGTACACCAGTTTGATAGAAAACTAGGATACTTAGAGCGACGGTTCACCCCAAAATAAAAAACAGTATTCTTCCTCTCACCTGTAGTGCTATTCATTAATCTAGATTGTTTCGATGTTAGTTGCTGAGTTTTGGAGCTAGAGACCATAAAGTTTTCTGCTTTAATACATTTGAAAAACTCAACAGAAATGTCTCTTTTCAAAGTTCATGACCCAGTTACTCACGCTAATCCATAGACCTTGTTGTGAGTAGTTTCATGTAGGAACTACTTTCTTTCTACCGAACTACACCCGCAAACCCTATCACATCACAGAAAGAATCAAGCGTGCATCTACTGCTCCTCACCTAGCACCACAGAGCTTGCTAACGTTACAGCTCAGCCGAGGAAAACGCCATTAATGTTTACATCTGGTGCTGTCACAAGAACAAGCCTCTTGTCTTGAGTTGACATACACTTCCTTCTGCACAGTGAAACAGAAACAATCTAGACAGATAAGTAGCATTACACGTAAGAACTGGCGTTAAACTGTAAACTGTGCCTTTAAAGTTAATGCCAAAGACAACTGACTCATAAAACTGTTTGTGTGTCCACAGGCTATTTTTCAGGAGACACTACCCAATCAACAGTGTGACTTTCAGCAGTCTCAACCCCCAAGACCAGAGGTGGGTCCCTGACACATATCAAACAGTGACAGTATGATTTAATAGGAGGTATATGTGCTTATATGTGTTACTGCTGATTGTCTTCAGTAACAGCAGCAACATATGTGCTTTCTGCTGCTGCACAAATACTCAATGTATTTACTTATATTTTGTAAATATAAGTTTTCTGTCTGCTTCAATACTCTGAGAGGTGAATGTAGATTCGTAGTGACTGCCTAGTCTTCATATAACAGTCTCCATGTCTGTTATTCATGTTTCCTACGTTTTGTCTCTGTCTCTATTCGTGTGCCCGTGCTTCAGGTGGACTAACTCTGATAGCACGTCAAGCAAGTAAGTGCTTGCTTCTCTGTGGGTTTTTTTCCTTGGCGAGTGACTTTGCATGGCAGTTAATCACAATCAGATTTATTACTCTGACTTATTGAGATCAAATCTGGGTTCTTTCAGTGCCAAATGTTATCAGCTCTCCCGTCTTCTCACCTCTCACGTCTCCTTTTTGCTGCAGGATGTTTGGCTTTGTGGCGAGGCGGACAAGCAGCTCTACAGAGAACGTGTGTCACCTGTTTGCAGAGATGGACCCCGAGCAGCCAGCCGTGGCCATTGTCAACTTTATCAACAAAGTCATGCTGGGACCACAACTACGCAGATGAGACAACTGGGGAATCTGAAAAGTCTGGACTAGTGGGGATCTGGGAGAGATGTTAATATGGATTTTAACAAAGCATGTGTGACTACATTTGTGCTTGCATTTGTACAGATGGCACCACTGTGCTCGGCTGTATGACTGTTTCTATTCAGATCACTGCTCTGCAGGGCAAAGTATTGCTTATATGTCAGTTTACAGAGCAAACCATTAGAGAGGAATAGTTTGATAAGCCAAAGACTGACCTAACTTTGTCTGCCAAATGAGATTGAGATGAGAGTTTGGGTTTTTTGTTTTGTTTATTTGCTGTTAATAAAGTTATTTTAGTTGTATTCCTGTTCACATCATGTACAACAATCACATGACACATGACAATCCATGTACCACACTGTTATTTGTATTCAAGTTTCTCAACATCAACATTTAAAGCTCAAGGAAAAATGGTTAAGTGTCAAACAAGTAGTAAAATGCAAGAGTTGTGTTTTAAGGTGTAAAGTGGCCTAAATGCAATTTTGGTCCTTATGCAATGTGAGAAACAGTAAAGGACATGATTGCAGATCAGATATTATGTATTTTAATTATCTGAGGACAAAGGCTACATTTTAACTCAGTGGTTACGTACATATTTTGTAACTGACTATATTTGTTCTTGATGCAAGTATACTGTTAAAAGGTTTTTAAGCACAGATTTAGAGGCATATTATGCTTGACTTGCCTACAATTTAAAACGGATAATTTAAAATGTTATGTGGCTACTAACATAAGCAGGTAAAAGGGGGGACAGCCCTAAAAATGTTTTAAGACATTTCTACAGCTATGACTAATAAATAGCCTTACTAAGTGATGTCTCACGCGGGGAAACCCTACAATGTCTGCAATGTTGGTGATGTCATTATAAAAAGAGCCAGTACCAGAAATGTCTCCATATCACATATTAGTCTCGGCCCTGCTTATGTTCCTATTTGACTAACCGATATCCACGGCAACACATGATAAGTGACTTATGTTTCACTTTAAGCCAAAGACTTCATTATTGTGTAAAAAGTTGTTTTTATCAATACTTTTTGTTTTTGTTTGGTATCTGTGTTTTCTATAAACGGATACGGTAGTTAGATGACTTCAGCACAATTACTGTTTTTCATAATGGATTTTTATGTAAAAGAAGTAATATATTTTAGGTCTCTGAGAAGAATGGTGTATGTCATATTTGACAGGAAATTTGAGTAATAAAATGGAATTGAATTCAAGTGTATGCTTCATTATTTCAAGGCTTCATGTAAAACATATTTTAAAATATTTTACTAATTTGCAGACGCTATGGTTTATTTGCATTTGCCTTTTTTTGGTTAGTGCATGTCAGTGTGATACATATGACTTTGGTATGACATTATTTCCTCAAGCTCAATGTCTGCACTTACCTATTACCTTGAAAGAGCACGATTGGTCACACAGGTTTTCACACTGCTTGAACAATGGGAGTGCAAAAGGATGAGGTCCCACCGAGATTTGAACTCGGATCGCTGGATTCAAAGTCCAGAGTGCTAACCATTACACCATGGGACCAACTCCGCTGAAAAAGGCCACAGATCTCTACTTGAAGCCATGATGTGTCCTATATCTCCTGTTTATGTATTTTTTCCTTGACGTATGTCTCTGCATACGGTTAAAGTCTTTATCAGAGTGCCAACTACCCCGTGTTTCGCCATTGCTAGTTAGCTAACGGAGGCTAAGTTAACCTAGCTAACTCAGCTAGCAGAGCTCGCTGTGTGTGGTGAGAGACAGCAGCAAGCAGCGCAGTGTAAAATAAGATGTAGCTTGTTATGTATCCACCTACAGGTGCAGACAGTCCACCACGTTTGTCTCACCGAGCCTGTCGATATGTGTTATTAAATACATCACTGAAGGTTTGAGGGTCACGTCAATTACTTTCATTAATTTCTGCTAGCTAGCTGCTCCTTATCCGATTTCGGCTCGTCAAAATAAAAGCTGTGTTTTCAAAATAAAAGATTAGATTATATAACTGCTAAAATGTGTTAAACCAGTTATTTTTTTATGAGTTTGTACAGTAACGACTTATGCAGTTGAATTTTAACAACAGCTTTCATGCAAGCATACCTGATTGATAACTGATAAAGGCATCAACAACTGCTACCTAGGTGCTCAGTAAGGGCTTGTTCGTTACTGATGAGCAGGAAGAGGGTGGTGCAAAAAAGGGGAGGCATGTCAAAATAGTGGCATTTCATCAAAATTACTCCATTCTTCATGTCATATTTAAAATTTGGACATAAATTTGGGCACAAGCTAACCAGTCTGCACAATAAGAGTGAAAACCCGTGGCTTTTCTCAACATCAGGAATTCGTCTTCAACTTTTACCTTTCAAACTTTAAAGGGTAAGTTTTAAAAATCTAATAACTCATTTTCTGGCAGTCACCCAAGGAGTGTAAGAGCCACTTTAGCACATATTAACATTTGATAAGAATTTCTGTGTTGATATGACATATCATATAGGTTCTGACGACATTTAAGTTTACACAACAGTTTCTGTATATTTTGAATAGTGTATGGTGGACTATACTTAAGTTACGTTTATATTTACTTTATTTATGTGTTAGAATGCAGGCACAAGTTATTTATGCCACGTATGGTGCCGTAAAGCAGTTTAGTGCGCATGACAGGAGGAGATTGTGGACAACGTCATGGGCAAAGGACAACGTGAAGTTTTGTCGATTTGGATCGGAATAAGTTTTTGACCCTGTTATGCAGTGTTGATGTGTAATAACGGGAATACGATGAGAATATATAGACTTGGCATGCCATTTTGTTTCTTTTTTAGATTCTCAGTAAACCTCACAAACTTAGTGGCCTAGGAACTTTGGTACATTAAAACGTCCACTACGGGGAGGCTAAATGAAAAATAATTCTAGCTACAGAGAGAGTCAAGATAAATAAATATATTTTTAAAAGTCACACCCCAGCCACCCCCCTCCTCTGATACATCTGATAAGTAAAGAACAGTCCCAAACTCCAGCTGCTCTGTGACTAAGGGTAAAGATTGTTTGTGCTGGCACGAATGGGATTGGTTTGTGCATTTTACATGACCAAAACACAGTAACTATTATTAGGTGTTCAGAAGCACCTAATAATGAACCAGATAGGTTTTCAGACCCATCTGTTGTGCATGTTCCACTCTCAACACTCGATCCAGTTGATTGGGTTGGGAGACAGGGGTAGTCACTTATGTAATAAACTATAATATAATGTCTTGATGCTTATTTTGTCCTGTGTTGCTGAGGAACAATAAAGGCTCCACTTTGGTGTGATTGCCTGGAACTAGCTCAACCGGTTGCATAGCAGCACATTGGCAGGCACCCAGGGATTCCTGGCTGACTTCCTGGGTGCCATTTCAAAAATGTAACACTGTAAGATTTAGCACTGTAGTGTTGTTATAGCCCAGGGACTCACATGTGATAGTTCAGTATAGTAATGGTGGCCATGCTGTCCCTCATCCTCCCACAAGAGGGAACTAGAGGGACTTCAATAGGCTGTGATAATCCTCTTGTGTAGTCAGATCTCCATATCGCAGCTCCCGGCGAGCCTCTGGAGGAAAACAGTAGTACCAGGGTATGAGGTTTCAGATTTTTCTCTCTGTGAATGAAAGATCACAGCCAGTCTCGCCACATCGCTAAATGTGAGAGCTGGATCATGTGTCAACTGTAATACCTGTATTCACTAAGTATTGTTATTCCTGTGCTTTATGAAGTCTAAGAAATGTAGGAGTCCAGGAACAGCCTCCACCCCCTCTCAGCTTTCTTCTGAGGAATTAATAGAAAAGAAAATAACCTTTGGTCCCATAGGCCAATATTTGAAGAGGAAAAAAAGGAATTCCAACAATGCTCAATGTTTGCTGCAACACAAAACGCTGACGACAAGAGAGATATATTAGTTTGTGTGAGGAAAAAACACATGCACTCACACAATAGTAATACTAAACCTTAAGTCACACATTAAAACAACTTCTGTAAGTGTGTTTCATTCACTTTTATCACTGATAGAATTGTATAGCTACTCACAAACCCACTTCCCTCTAATTTGTATTGGTTTATTATTAATGCTGAGAGAAGAAAAACATATTATGATACACTTTATTACTTCACTGATTATTTATTGATTGTTTATCATCAAGTCTTACATAAAGGGTGAAGAAAAAAAAGACAGAAATATACAATAGTAAACAGTACTATGGAGGCTGATATTTGGTAATGAATCTAACGGTTTGATGGCATTAAGGACAACGCTGTCCGGAACCTGTTGGCTCTGGAAACAATCCCCTGGTAATGTTTTCCAGAAGAATAGGACTGCATAGTTTGAGGCTAAGGATGACTGTGGTCTCGAATGGGCCTCCTTTAAGCGTCTCCTGTGGTAAGTGTCCTGGAGGGATGGTCGTTTATTGCCTGTGAGAAACTATGCTGTTTACATCACCTGCTGTACAGCTTTACAGTCCAGGGCGGTGCAGCATGGACACCACACGGTGATGCAGCTGCTACAGATACTCTAAATGTAACACATGTAGAAGGTAGTGAGGATCTACAGAGCCAAGCTGAATTTACACGTCAACATCGCGCAGTATTGCTGATCCAAAGGAACTTGAAACTGCTGACTGTCTCCACTTAGGGCATATTGATGAGAACGAGTTTACAATTATCTCCTTCACCTTGTTGTCCTGGCACCATATTTAAGAGTCTCACCTCTGCCTTGTAAGCAGGCAGTGTCAGATGCTATGTTTAATGCACACACAAACCAGGTTATTGGGAGACATCACAAGATATAAAATAATTGGTTTACATACCCTCCATTCATCTGACTACTCTTAAACCTCTTACCAGTGGCTAGGATGACAGCAGATTACCCTTACCATATTAGTAGCTATTCCTTACTTTGCACATGTCTAAAATACAAATCACAAACATCCAACTGTTTAGCAGACCATGTTTCAGAAATCCAGCTATTGTCAGACTATCTTCTTTCATGAAAACACTAAGTGACTATACCGATTGCTGTGGTGTCATTCTCAAACCGATGAAAGTGCGGCTGTGCTGTGCCTCACAGTTATGTGTGACTAGGGAGTAATGGCGCAAGGTTAACGCAGCCCAGGGTGTCCGCAGTGCTGAGAATGAGTGGAGGAAGTGTCAGTCTCCACCAGCAGTGCTCTGCATTTCAGAAAGTCCAAGATTCGGTTGCACATGATGGTGCTCAGATGTGGTCCCTGAGGATGAAGAGAATCATATTTAAGGCTGTAATCAACAGTATTCTTGTAGCGCTTTTCATGTCCAAATGTGACAGAGCAGCTTTTGGGTGCTCTGTGCTATAACTGCACACTGCCCAGGGGGAAGTGAGTCTGTGTGGGTTTTGAGCAGCAGCCCCTGGCATCCCATGATGACAGACGAAAGTGCAACAGGGTGTTAGTCCCTGAGGCAGGATATCCTTGGTTCTATAGGGACAACATGTTGTATCACACTGACACATTACAAACTGGAGCAAAGGGCAAAGACTGAGTGTATCCACTAGAACATCTGCCAGCTGATCAGCACATGTTTCAGAATCTGGCCAGAGATACTCTCAGGTGCTTTAGGGGAGTTGGTGCACCTGAGGCTCTGCTCACAGTGAGTGCTCTTAGACGTACATTGTTGTCCATACTATAATTCTCCAAACGTGTTAAGGATATGTTCAGCTTGTTCGGGAGGGAGGCAGATACATATGACACACAGCTGGGCTGCCCTTTGTGGCTAACTGAGGATTGACAAGGAAAAGAAAGATTTTTGACACATGATGTTTGATCAGTGGCGCCCCCAGAAATTATTTATAATGGTGGCCAGATGGGGCCACTGAACATTTTGGGGTGGCACACCAAAAAGCAAAAGCCGTACCTAAATTTCAGGAATTCTGTTATGCTGTTTTAGTCAGGCTGTTCTCATGCACTGTTGGTACGTTTTCCTATGTAAAGTAATGCACCAATATTCGTAGATATACCACATAATGATGAGCCAGTCATTTTTGCATAACCCACGTATTTTGGAAGGCTGCAATCATGCCACTAATGCGCTGACTAAAGTAAAGAAGGAAGTGGTCCTGAGCAGCCCGGTTAGACGGCAGGCTGGGATGGTGGATGGTCACAAAACACAGGACTTTCCCTATGAGACCGGTGTTTGGAACTGTGTGAACTATGAGTCATTTTAAGATATGTTTTTACCATGTTCTTTCTCCAAAATTTAATTTGTACTTTAGTTGCCTAAAACCAAACCTCCGTAACTTTACACTAAGCACATAACTTCTTTCGTGGGGTGCGAATTTGTAGGATATCATACAAACCATTGTATGAGGATAAATTGTATTAGCAGTCTATATAGGCTAGCTGAAAATTACATTGATATGGAGGGTTAAGGAATCGCATACTGATATACTTTGGTTTCTTATTTTACAGATAATATCACTGATTATCTGATGTGTAAGGACTTTTAGTGATACAGTTAACACCTTGAGTTCCACAACAATCCTGTTTTAAAATGTTATATCTATGCATGTGTTAGGTGATTCATTGTTCTTCAAGTAGGCTGGTGGTCCTTTTCTTTCAAGGAACCCCTTTGAAAATGGTCATGCCAGTTTTGCCCTTGCCAGAATTAAGCCCAAATTTGGAGCATTATTTATCCCCCTTGCCCCATAGGATCACATAGTTGTTACCAATGGACGCCTTAGGTTGTCTAGTTTCACAAGACAACACCGAAGCAACCTTTGCACCAGCTTAAAAAATAAGAGTGCCTTATTACAGTAGAGTTGGTCTCCAATGGAGTGCCCCAATAATGGGTCCTAAAACACAGAAATGGGTTAGCATTTTATCATTTGCAGTTCCTGGTGTTTTTAGTAAATGGGTTTTTTGAAAATAGAGTTTTTGGTTAGATGCTTGAAATACGGTCACACAAGCTTAAGAGATTTTCACATTTTGTTCTACCACAAAAAATATGTCTGTAAATAACCCACTCATATTTTTTTTTTTTTTTTTTGCTTTTTCTGTGTCTTAAAAAAGGCGGTTGCTAAGTGGCTAATTGAGCCAACAGAATGTCATCATACAAAACACGATTTTACAGCCTCGCTGTGGTGATGGCGTTGAAGTTGAAGTTCGTGATGTAGTTTGTTTGTAGCCTAATGTTAGGTTTTTACTTCTGCCAATTTCATTCAGGTGGTGTTTATTTGTGAGGATGATCTTGTTGAACAAGATGTGTCAGTATCATACACTTTTGTCTGCTAGAGAGCTTATTCCCTACAAAAATCCAAAATCCAATAGAAATATTCCATAGGTGTTTTGATGAGGGAACCAGGGCGACACTAATTTTCGTGTCGGCCTACAGAAAATGTCATCCATGGAGCACTCTATGAGTTTTGCCAGCGAGGGCAAATAGAGTGGGCAGCATTTGTTCCAGGGGAACCATTGTGTTTTTATGTATTTACTGGAGATAGAAAAGCTTGCTGTTGTATTTCTCATCTTGTCTCATGAGCCTGTATATGTGTGTGTGTATATGTGTGTGCATGTGTATTTTAGTTTTTCTCTTATTCAAAAGTCTGGTGAAATCTGATTATTAGCTGTGCTACGTTGCGTTTGTGCAACCTGATAGTTTTGTTCCCTGACAAATTATTCTTGCTCATATGACTTGTTTCATGCCTGTTACCCTGCCACTGTTAAGACCCCACTGTTTAGTTTTACATTTGCACAGCACTCACACCTGCAGTCCTGTGTAACTTCACTCTGCACACTCTGCCTCTGCAAATAGTTATTGTGCTTATTTTTAATGTTTTAGTTCATCCTTTTATGTGTTGATAATGTCATAATGCACCAAAATGGAGTTATGCTCCACTTTAAAATTAATGCATCTCCTCAAAATCTACAGCCAAATTTCTGCCTGGATGTGCACACTATACAAAAACGTGTGTTGCACTGATGTTTGCTTGTCCTGTACTGTCCCTTTGCACCATAGAATAACCTAAAATCAACTCTGACTGTTCTTAAGGCATGTGCCCGCATATACTCTGCCACTATGCAAGTTATTTATGTCTCTGCACCAGTGCCACGAATACTAATTTCCATAGTTTTAGTGGGTCAAGTGTTTCTGATTTATGATTTCCACCCTCCTGATTTCCAAGCAGCATGCCAGCTTACTCTGAAGGGCCGGAGCATGTGAGGACACAAAATGGCTGGGCCAGGACATGTCTGACATGGGTGTTGTGGAGCCAAATAAATCTCCGTTAGCAGAACGGCTTGATCCAGTGCTGGTGCCAGACTTGGAGTCCACCCAAGCCGCAGGACAAGGATCAACTCTCCATGAGCATGAACCTAACACCCACACACTTTACTACCAGTCACTGTACATGAATCAACAGTCAACAAGCTTATGACACATGTCGAAGGGCCAGAGGGCTCTGGATCATGCTAATTTTGGGGGTTAAGACAGAATACAAAACTGAGCACATGTAGTTGACATTGAACTTTGCACGTGCATGCTTGGGTTTTATGGACTGGATGTAATTGTTGAGTGGTCTGTACTTTTTGGCCACACAGCAGGTACAAAATATATACTGTGAAGCAGAAAATTAAGGCAATGTCCTGAATTTTTTTTTGTTGTTTTGGAGGCAAGGCAGCTCTGGCAGGGGATTTAGAAAGCAGAAAAGAAGTGTGCGACACACAGAAGCTCTAGCACGGTGCTGACTGTTAAATCAATGCAGGGGATAAATGGAGGGCTTGTGCAAGTGCAAAAAACCTGATACACATTTGATGAACACAACAGAGGCGATTTAGCAGCTTGTTCATACACTGTATAATTTGTGAGAGAGGTAGGTGTGATAAGCTATAGTTTAAGCCTGCACCTTTTCGGTTATTGCTATAATCTCTTTTTTGACACTGACTCATCAGGCATATCTGTCTAACCACTTCCCTGCATTGCTGTGTACAGTATTTAATTATTTTTTCAAGATTAAAGACTAAAAGAAGAGATAATTGCAAAATAGCACAGACGGGTTAACAGAGATGATGGGGTAGAAATAGTCCTGGTAAAACTCTTTGTATTTCAAAGAACAAAGATGTATTTGTAAAATACACATGGATAAAGTCAGAATTGAATGCCTGCTGCTGGAAAAGCAGCTTGTGTTACGTCTTCAGGGATTTCCAGTAATATGCAACGCTGTTTTCCCTTTGCAATCTGCACAGATCTATTTTTTTGTTTCCACGCTGCAGCAGGAGAAAAGAACGATTAGCTGGAAGAGGATATATAGAACCGGATGGGGCCCTCCTCTCTCTTCCCCCTCTCCCTTTCGTATCTGTCGCCTTAACTGTGTTTACATTATAGACACACCCCTGACCTTCACCCAGGCCCCCTTCGCTGGCCCCACACACACACGCACACACACCGTTTCACATACCAGAGCTATGAGCACACAACCGTGAATGCACAAATGTCACCGAAATAAATAAGTGGATGCAAAAGAAACAGCTTTCACATTGGTGGAGAGCACGAAATATCAGCAGTGTTTGCCCAGTGTGCTCCTGTTTAGTGGAGCTGTTTAATCGTCTATTTTTAGGCATCCTCGGCCATTTCTCATGCATTGCAAATGTATGGCAAGATCGCCATGCAGCTTTCCAGCCTACCACTGTACTGCAGAGTAGACACACCCCTCCAATACACACACCTCACTGCACACATTTGCTAAGTGTCAAAGAAATAATGGAGGAAAATGCGTAAAACGGAAGATTCAGCACCAGGCAGGGCTCGTGTTGTTATTTCACCAGCGTGATATCGATGGTGATGCTGTTGTGTCTTGTTTAAATTTCAAATGTGGGACTCTGAGCATGTAGCCGCAAAACAAAGCCACTCGGTGCGAGAGATAAACACGGCATCCACAGGATGGTTTCCGCCTATTGAGACTCCACGCCGTATCTAAGGTTGGCGCGGTAATCCCCCGCACCGGGTGTCCATTGATTCAGAGATCAGAAGCATAACGATGTTGCTTTAAACCTCACGCGGTCAAAGTTGTTTACCTCTCCGTTACCTCTGACGTCACGACACACCCCTGTTTGAAGGGGCGGCTCTTCTGCATATGGGCACCGGCGTCAACCAATCACAGCCAAGCTGGGCCGAAATGTTACCAATCACAGCACGGGAGAGATGCCGAGCCCACCTTTGATTGGTTAGCGGAGGGGCTGGGGGGAAATCCCTCTTTTCCCGTAGAGGTCCTGAAGAGGGGGCGGTGCATAACAAAAAGTAATGGCCATCTATTTGGGTCCTGAAGAAGGAGGGGTATTTCTCGTCGGACTACCGTAGGTGTGATTGAGTTTTCTTCATGTAAGTGCGTACGTTAGCCTGTCAGTTGAACCCAGTTGCGTCTCGAGCGTTTTGTCGTTGGATGTCCGTCGGCCGCCGCCGCACAACGGTTACTAAGCCGGATGAACTTGGCGCCGCGTTTTAGGTTTAAAGCAGCCAGCTAGCCACGCTAACGTTAGCTACTACCAGCGCTGCTGCTGCTGCTGTGTGTGTGTGTGTGTGTGTGTGTGTGTGTGTGTGTGTGTGTGTCTGTGTGTCTGTGTGTCTGTGTGTGTATGTGTGAGAGAGAGCCAGCGTCTGGAAGGGCGGACGAGTTTGACGTTTTCTCCTCAAGTCTCCTGACATTTTTTTTTAGTTTAGTTAGCACAACGCGGTCCTCTCTCTCTCCTCAAAGCTAACCCTACCCAGTCAACATGGAGGGGACACACTTTGCAAGAGCATGAGCACGACGGCGACTAAAGAGGATTAAAAGCAACTCGGTGTTGACGGGGGAAAAGTTGAGCTGAGGTATGAAACTCACATGCACAGGAGGAATGCTAAAGTCGAGACTTGGGTTGTTGTAATCTCTGTTGCCCAAGACCACACGAGAAACAGGTTTAGCACAATTTAAGTCTTTAGTTGATCTGTGTGTGTGTGTGTGTGTGTGTGTGTGTGTGTGTGTGTGCGCCTAACTTACCTCCCTGTCTGATTGCTGTTTTCATGGGTACAAATGAGTGTGTACGTTTCTGTTGAAAGTAATTCAGTGTTACATAAACAGAGCAACTGCAGGTCAGGTACGAGGGTAACGTTATGGGCCCACTCTGACTTGCGACATGCCATTTTGCTTTTGTATTGAACAGGATTAACAACTTGGGATAAACAGAGGAAAGGTTTCAAGTCTTACCTATTGTACAAGGGCATGCTAATACCTCAGGTAAGACATTTTCCTTTTACTTTTACCTGGTGTTTATAAAGCAGTCCTATGAAAAGATACACGTCTATTAACATGTACTTAAACCTTAACTTGTGTTGCTTTTAATTTACACATTTTGCTGTGAAATACATCTACACTCATCATACACGTTAACTCTCTTATGAAAAAGGTAGTAAGTAATATATGAACCATAGCCAACATATTCATTAATAAGACTGTAAAAGCAATGTGTTGAAGAATGAATTTAAAATGTCAGTACTTTTAAGACTGTGCTTAATTTAATATGATCTGCCCATTTGTGACCTAAATCAGTGACCCTCCTAAAATCAAAGGCCTTACTTAAAGGGCTGTGTAATGAAATCTGCACAACTGAAAAGTCAATACAGTCCATTTAAGTACAGGGTGTTTTTCTGTCCACATGAGGACTTTATATATCATACAGCTGCAAAGTGGAAATTCTCCCCCATGTATTATTAATATTAACAACCAACTAGTTAGTTGCCTTTGAATAACAGTGTAATATCAGCTCGCATTTTTATTGTGTTGATACCACATGATAAAAAGTGATAAGCTGCAGCTATCTGAAATAATCAGTGCAGATTTCAGCCCTCTTGTCATTTAACATACAGTACGTCCACGTACAGAAATTTATCTGAGCAGGGAAGGCGTACTCTGTCACTTTCACCAACACACTCAGTTGCTTGTTAGAATTATTTATATATCTATTTTTATATTTTTACACTTTAACCACTCACTTCATAGTCATGGGTAACTGAGCTACTGGCTGGTAATGACATCATTAATTACTACAAGCGTCTTGTCTTTCTTGCATCTGAAATTTAAACAGCCTCCAGCTCTTCTCTCTCTCCGCTGCTCATCACTTCAAAGTAAATCTGAAGGGGGCCAAATACAGCGAACAGCAAGGGGTACACATATATTTTCCTACCTATTTTTTCAAAGCGGGCCTAGTACTATAATTCTCACACCTATCCTTTTCTGTTTATGAAACAGTTTGACACTTGAAAAGTAGCAGGTAGGGTGTTGTTTTTATGTCAGCTTCCTCATCGCCTGCTTTTAGAAGAATGAATGTGGCGTCTCTTTCTCAACCACACGGTGCACTTGAGATCAACGGTCACACATGTTCTGAATTTATATGATGTGGAAATTTACGAGATAGCCTGTGTTATTTGGGACAGAGCGGGAGACTCAACACACACGAGGACCATGTATGCCTCAGCTTCTAAATCCCTTTTCTGTTCATGTGTCATGTGATGAGAAGCTACGGTATGGGCTCGGTTTGTGTCTTTATTGACTTTAACTGTAGCAGGTTGTTCATGGAGCTGCATGCTGTGTTGATGGTACAGTCCATTAGGTCTCCTGTACAGTGAAATACCCCGCCCCCACCCCCCTTTCGTGACTACAGTAATTGGTCGCTTCCTCTCACATGTAACCCTATAGAAAGAAAGAGGCTCCTGTACATAACTGTAAAGACCCACTTGTATGTACGTACCTCTGTACATACGTGCTGTTTGCCACATATGTTCAGTTGCCTCCAAGACTAACGAAGTGTTTAGTTCTCCCTAATGTCTTTACGTCCTCAATTACCTTCTGTGGTTAATGGTTTCTAGGCCAAACACATCACGCAGGGTATATTTGTTGTATATGGAGCATTAGTCATGCAGAAAAATATCTTTGCGTCACTGTTTGATATCTACGGCAGTGGATGTAATATATCTAGGTTTCTTTTTTATTAAATTTCAGTGTATTACTGGATTACAGATTAAATTTTAAGATTTTTTCACCTTTTAGAAGTTGACTTTTAATCAGAAATACTAATGACAGTGTTGCTTTTTTAAAAATATTTTTTTAAAGACAAGTATTTCCTGTAAGAGAGACAGCATTTTATGGAGGTTATATAACTTGTGGGCTAAGTGCATTTGCACCCACCTCACCCACATGTCTGTTGCCTGTCCAGTTCTGTCCAGTTGGCTCTCTGCGCGCACGACTCTGTGTGCTTGAGAATGTGCATTCTCTGTCAAAATCGGCATAGACATAAACAGGACTTTTTCGGTGTGTGTTTGAGTGGGCCTCTCCCTGCCTTGTCTCTTTCCCCTCTCCAGAGTCCAGCAAGGGGCCCAGCATAAGGGGGCAGGCTGCCGTCACTGCCTCTCTCTCCCCTTGCAGGCCAGCGCTGGGGCCTGGGCAGGGGGGGAGTGGTGCATAGACCATAGGGTTGGACACAGGACATGTGACCCCCCACCCCTTCCACCCCAGTTTAGCCCATCCTGTGTGGGGCACAGGTCACCTTGTCATGTGCTATTACTGCTGCTGTAACATGCTGCCTGTGATCGTAGGAAAAGAGCATGAGATAGACCCGTGGAGGCTGCGGGAGAGAGAACAAGAAAGAGAGAGGGAAGCAAAGGGACAGGACTTGACTAGTCTGCTCAGCCAGTTGTTTAGCTGCATTACAGACTCGGTTCGTCTACTTTGTTGCTGTTAGCTCCACATTGTCTCTTTTTGTCCATTGTTCTCTCTCCCCTATCTGTTCTCTCCACGTATTGTTGTTTTTTTTCTTAGGCAGTGTCTAAACACCAAGCTGAATCAAATTAAACTTTCCTTCTTACAAATTCCAGATCGTGTTTTCTTTAATGGCACTTGTTTTCTTTATCTCTACCTCCTTCCTCTTTTAAATTTCCATTTTCACCCTCTTCTCTGCCATTATGGTGGGCTTAGATGTACTTCTATGTGTGAAACACAAGCCCATGTATTTCCATTGTAGCCCAGCTCTCTCTGCAGCCCGGGTCATTCCAGATCTGATTTGTTTTATGTCTCTTCTGTACTCGTAGTGACCCAGCCCGAGGTATGCAGTAAAACACATTGCCTTATGCTTTCTCCCTTCTCCCTCCAGCCCTCTCCACAAGTTCTCCCTGTCTTCTCCCTCTCTCTCCTTCCTCCTTTAAATCTTTCTCCCACTCTCTCGCTCTCTTTTTTCCCCCCCTTTAAGAGAAACTTTTGGCAGCATGGAACAATTTCAGAACCATTTGTGGGATTGCGTCATGTGATGTAGACGGAGGATGCTCATTGGACTGTCAGACAGGGCCTCCTTCTCCCACTCAGGCGTTCCACAGCAATCCCTCTCTTTCCTCCAGTGCTGTTATAGGTCTGGATGTGATTCCGACTCTGACTCTTATGTGTTGGGATGTGGTCTGTAAGCTCATTGCTGACATTCTTGGGACGTGATGCCAGAGGTTTTTTATTTCCCGCTTTCCCCTTTTCTCTTCTGCACGTCTGTGTGCAGTTAAAAATGATCTCTCCTTGAAATGCATGTCTGGATTCTCCTCTTTACCCACTTTGTTATATCTTGCCCCCGTCCTCAATCACGTTTCATTTCAACGCCCAGGCACTAATGGCACCACTTAATTAGTTTTGTTAGATGGTGGGCGTTGGTGGAGGGTGGGTTTTATAATCACTTAATATTGACTTTGATGAAAGTTAATCTAACATCTGGGCTGCCGTCCAAATCTCTTTTTACAGTTGAGGTCTCGCTTATGTCTTCTCTGTAAGTAGCAGGGCACCTGACAAAGAAAACCAATGGCCACTTTCCTGTTTGGTAATCACATACTTGGACAATGGTGCAGCCTGAAATGAAATGGCGAGTAGAACAGAAAGAAATAAGCTACCTTATGAGTGGCATTGGACTCCTGCCATGGTCCACCTTGGCACTTATCCCTGAATGAATATCTCACAGCAGCTCAAGCTGCAGCAGTAATATTACAGATTTGCGAATTACCATATTTTAAGAACCATGCTCATTGTGCAACATCATCGGCATGAAGTGTTACTATTTCTCATATTAGCACTTAACGCCTCTACTCTCTGTCCCTCAGGTTCACACCATCTGTAGTCAAGACTTAATTTTGCAACGATTGGCATCTAATGTCAATTAATTAGAAGGTGCAAGATAGACGTATGCATTCGGGACAGTGGGGTGCAGGTGGTGCAAACAATTTCCACTGATAAATGAGACACAAGTAGTGTGGTTTTATGCAAACTTTGTTTCCTTTAATTCCGCCAAAGTTAAAAATTGGCCAGGTGTTGAGTAATAAATATTTAATCACTCAACATTTTATTTAGAGTAGGTTAGGCTCTGGTTATTAAAGATATTCTGTTATGATGAGTGGTTTTTCAAACATGTTGATCTTAATTAAACCCAGACCACAAAGAGAACGCGACCATTAATCTTCAGAATTGATGACCTATCGAATGTTTACCATTAAGGCTTCTGCAGACAGTGTCCTGTCTTTAAATCCAACCTGGGACCAGGTCTAACGTCAGTCCCCTGGATTATGAGACACATGCGTGTCATTTCAGCCATGATGTGAATAAATCAAAGGAGGAAAAGATGAGTCACTGCTCCACTGCATGCTAAGTAGCACTTGTTCTCCCTCAGCTAGTTTGTCGGGTAAAAAGAAAAGGAAACTCCCTGTCCTCTCCTCCAACTACACCACCAAAATTAGGGTAATGTCTTCATTTTGCAGCTTTCACCACCCAGTTAAAATGACAAGCTAGTCAGTTTGCGGTGCCGCGCATAATTACAGCAGGCCTCATCTCTTGCTCATCGACCACTGCCGCTTTGTCACTCACACTCCCAAACCCCAGGCTTACAGTACACTCACTTTTCCTTTCCTTTCCTTTCCTTTCCTTTAATCTCCTGATTTAGGTGATAGAGTCCAGAAGTCAATTACATGTATGGGTTATTCCGTTGTGGAGCAGAAGGTGCTTATTTTACACCATGTGATCAATTCTTCTCACAAAGTTTATCTGTGAAGAATCAGTCATATTCTCAATGCCTTTACTAGAGCTGAAATGACAATCAGTTAATTGAGTAGTTCATAGACAAAAACTAAATTATGTTGAGTATTGATTGGTCTAAGTCAAATATGCTCAAATATACAGTACAGGCCAAAAGTTTGGACACACCTTCTCATTCAATGTGTTTT